TAATGGCACAGACATGACAACTGATTACAAATAATATTGAAGAAAAGTGAAAGAAGTCCAAAAAAATTTTACTAACAGAAAACAAGGCCAAGATGAGTTTCTAAACTCCCTATGGCATGCAAACACCATTGGATGTGATAATTAGATTCATACTCAAGCTGTAAACTCCAGAAGTTAACAGATATTTCAGTTCTTCATTTTTGGCACAAAGGTTATTGAGCAGCTATTATCAAAAGAATGAAGCAAGAGAAAAGCACCAAAGTACCATATGTTTTGATTGTTTCCAATAGTGAAATCCTGTGCAACTCAGACTCAAGGGTGACTATTGGATAAAATATGTATCAGACACGTGTACATTCAATTTTTTTTAAGTTATTTCATGTATATGAGAGGTCAGACCTCCATACCCATGTCTGATGGATATGCGTCATACAAGGGTACTTCAAGGAAAATGATGAGTTGGAGCAACGTCCCTTCAAAACATCTCAATATCAAACTAGCTTTTTGATAGTGTGCCAAGCAGTTCCATTTTACAGCCCCGATTGTTCTTTAATTGTGCAATTGGTTATACCTAATCAGTCAAAACTCATTTCAAATGCTTTTCAGATTTCAGCAAAATATTAACTCAAAGGTTAAATACTGCAAACTTTTCAGCATTTGAATCTACATTAACAAGATTTTTTGGTGGCTCTCTTAATTAAATATACCAAAGTAATAGTGACATAGCTTGGCATTTCAAAGTAATAGTGACAGAAAAAATACCAGAAATTGCATTACAAATTTTCAATGGATTTAACTAAAGCAAGGCTTAGAAGTCACAGTGGAAGAAACAATTAAGAGACCAGACACATAAAAGATCACTACACAAGAACCATCCAGGCTTATTTGTACATCAGAAACAGCTTAGAAATATATAAATCACAAAGATGAGAGACAATTTCAATCCCAAGAATTGCACCAAGGTAAGCCTCAATTGGAAATTTAGAATTACTTATATTGGGTGCATGGGGTTGGACTATGACACTTGCACAACAATAAAGGTTACTGTAACTAGGAGTCACAAGCCAAAACCCTTCAATTATTTTTCAGTCAAGCCATTCATAACACTTTTGGAATATTCTTACCAAACAACCTTATTAAAAGTACCTGCAGAGAATATCCAGAGAAGGCTCCAGGAAATTGCTCAGCCATGATCTCCATGGCTGCAAGAAAGGCAACAACCTAACAGAGATATCAGTATTAAGATACAAAAAGAAACTATGATTTCAAAGTATTTGTAGTGGTATTTCAACTAATTAAGGGTTAGATGACCTGTTTCCCCATTTGTGGTGAGATCACAGCATAACCATTTGAATCTTCAACAGTCTTATACAGTCGATCCCTGTCTCCACCAGTAGTTCCCATAACAAAAGGCACTCCGACTTTGGAATATAGCTCAGCATTATCTATATTTCAAACACCCCCACCCCCAAAAGAATTTTAAAGAAAAGGTAATAAATAAAAAGATCAACTCATAATGTTGGACTTGAGTAGCATGCACATGTTTACTTAACAAATCTATCATAAGATAGTTCATGATATAACTGAGAAAAAAAATGAGTCACAGCAATAGATTATCTCTAAAACAGGCTTCAGCCTTTAGAAACATTATTCCTTGGACTATAAAAAAATTTCTCATTCAAGTTCAGCTTGCTTACTTTATTTCATTAATGTGAAATATAATATGGTTTATATGTATGGTTCTCAACAGGATACCATTAACTGTGGCAGGCACAGTGTAGTCTACCACGATCAGGTTTGGATACTCATGAAAGACAGAAGCAAGGATGCTTTCTTTTTCAGAAGGACCATGTACCAAAATCTCTTTGCCACACATTTCAATAGTCTTCCCAGACTCCTTCTCTGCACCAAAAGACACAGGAACAATATGAAGTCCAGCAGAATCTGCTGC